TAAAAAACAAAAAGTGTAGAAAATATTGATAAATACCAAAACTTGTATAAAAGTCGTTTTTTTTTTTTATATTCACAAATTAAAACTAAATATTTAACAGCTAAATAAAAGAATTACCGCATTCTCCTCCCAAAGAAACCTATAAAATTTCTTCCAAGGAGGGATTCCCCGAGTTTAAAGCCCCTGGTCTATACTCTGGAAAGTTGATACTTGCTGATCTGCCGTTTAAAGCCATAAACACCGACAACGAACGAAATCAGAGAATTTAAAATATTTTTAGATACGGAAGCAATTGTGTTTTTTAAAAGACAAGAGTTTATGGAGAATAGTGAGCATTGTTATGAACTGATAGCTTCCACCGTTAGATGGCGCTCCGAGCATCCTGCCTCTGAAAGAGTTTCGATAACCTAACTTCAGTTTAGGAAGAACGGATGTATTAAGCCTAATAGTACCGGAAGGCGTGTGCCTGATAATTATGCTTGTAAAAAACCATTGTATTACATGTAAATAAATTCATGGATACGAAATGTGTATACGTGTAAATAAATTCATGTCAAATATGAAGCTGAATTATCATTTACCTCTGGATTTAATGTTCGAACAGGAATCTAAATGAATGGTAATGAAAATAGTTATGACAGGCACCTACTTTGCGCAGTAGGAGATAGTTGTTGGGCAAAATATTGTTGCGGGTGTTTTCAGCTTCACTGTTTTTGCGGAGTCGTCCTCTCGTCTCCTTAATATTAATTCAATGATAGAGGTTTCGCCCGGAGTGCGGTTCCCCCCTTCTACGCTACGCTACTTCTCTGAAGATATAATTATTTCTCAGAAAGAACACGAAATCATATCCAGTGAGCAGGAAGGATGTAGATAACACTGTTACGGAACATAGGACATGGATAGTGACCGAAAATAGACTAGACAAGATTTATTAAATGTGTCTGATATGCTTCGATGGTTAGTGAAGAAAATGAGTTGCTTATCACGTTTTAAGCAATAAAAAAATAAAGAAAAATTTAATTCGGTCACCTATTCAAATACCAATTTAACACCCGAAACGATTTTAAGATAAACAGTTATGGCAGACGAACTACAATTTTATTTAATTTCCAAAAATTCAAAATAAAAAAAAAAAAAAAAAAAAAAATCTGATGCGGACACATGATTTCCTTGTATGACCTATTAAATTATACAAATATTTTCCTGCAGTTCATTTAAACTTATTTTCACGAATTATTGTAACTTGAATAACAGATTTCTCGAGGCAAGTTGAAAATGGCATCAAAAGTTGCAAATTTTGAAATTAAATATTCCGGTCGATTATTTTGGTACAGGCGTCATAATTTTATTTTTTCTTAATGGATGTAAAATTCTCCTAAATACAAGTATAGGAAAGTATAGGAACGGGAGACCGCATGAAAGTTAAGATTTCGTTATTTGTCCAAAATTAGCTTTAAAAAAAAATTGACGTTTCCAAAACATGAATATTTTCATCATTTAAAACATTTCTGTAGTTGGAAGTATATGACTACGACAAACGATTGCGAAAATAAAGGCCGGGTAAGGGATAGGTATTAGGACTGCTCATTGCAATGAAATAAAGCAGGAGCGCAACTAGATGTTATAGCATCCTATGTATTAAATTTTCAACTTCTACAGCTAATTCCTTTTGAATAATGCGCGATATATACGAACATACGTAGAAAAGTCACGAAAAAAATCACTTTTGAATCCATTTTACAATCCGTTTTGGAAAAAGAGTCCTTTATTCTTTACGTGGTACAGATGTCAGCAAAAATAATAATAATAATAATAATAATCAAATGGATAGATAGATCAAACGGCAGTGGTCAAAATGGATATTTCCATTGAAATATGTAATATGAAAGTTTATTGGGATTACATTACTTCCTTTACTTCGTACAAGGTATTAAAAACTGAATAAATTACATTAAAAGGAATATTTTCTAATTTATGCTTCTTGTAAATCTTAGTCTAATTTAGGTAAATCTCATGAGGTATTCTAGCAATTTTAAAATAAGAAAAGTTCATTATATTAAACAAAATTGCATAATATTTCAGAATTAGACGAAGGAATCATTATTTTAATTACTTTAATTTTCTTTAGCAAGCTAAAGCTTTTCTAATTTAATATCAGAAAAATTAAATAAGCACCTTTCTTAAATTTAATTTATGAAAAGCAAAGAACGAAAATGTCATAGTCGATAGTTAACAAGAGGAGAAATAGATGGCGCTACAAGTGCATTCTTGAATTACATTTTGAAAAAGGCATAAAAATGCAACTTTAATTTTTAATACCCTTTCTAAGCTTTCAATAAGTAAAATTTTTAGCATATAACAGAAGTATTGCATCTTTGAGAACTAGATTTGAATCTAAATTACCATTTTTGTCTACAATTTAGCGATTGTATAATTATCAGAATCAAAAATTAATTTTCTTAATAAATAATGGAATTAAATTTTGCTTTTGACTGCGTATTTTAACGTAAATGTGGAAAGAAAGATTTAGAGAATATTTAATTGTTTATCAGAAAAACATTTTTTTAATTTCAACGAACATTTCGGATTCGTGGTTCTTTTCAACAATTTCTGTACCAGTTGTTTTAAAATCATTATTGCTGGTTTTAATCGCATAGCTGCGAAACAATGAGAATTCCATCAGTGCTGCCATCTCTTGGGAAGAATAGTAACTTAGTAATAACACTTATTAGTCCGAAAGGTGTTAGTCTCGAAATTGGATTTTGCGTCAGTTCAGTGTAAACGACGAATTACTTTTCAAATTGTTGCACGAAAATATTATCGCTCTGCATTATTTTTAAAGAAATTAAATAATGAAGAATCCGCATATATCTATACATCTATGTATGTAAAACAACGGTATCTCTGAAGCCATCAAATTTTCAATAACGTAGTCCTCCATCCAAACCTAGGCACCTGGAAGCCCGAATTTTGAATTTGCTTCATTATTTATTTCATATTTTGTAAAACTTTTATGAATTTTTGATTAACAAATTCAACGATCTAAAAGTGAGCAGTGACAATACTATTCGAAATAAAACACTTTTTATCTCTAGCGCGCGATCCTGACTGTCAGAAATTCTAAAGATAAATATTTATTAATATTTTGTGATTTTGCTATTGAATTGAATTTTATGTGACGTAACTACGAAGAACGTGATATTTAATAAATAAAGCACAGAAGGTTAATAATAAAAAGACAAAGGAAAAGTATTAGCTATCTTACTAATAAAAATGATGAAACAAGAAAAGACTGAAAAAATATAGAAATGTATGCCAACACTTACTACTTAACTTAAATATATTAGGACTTATGTTGCTAAGCAGCTTTAAGAATTTTGTGATTTTGTTGCTAAACTTTATGTGGCGTAAGTGAAGACGTTGTGAACTCTATGTGGCGTAAGTTGAACTCTGTGTGGTGAAAACGATGCGTAAAGCTAAAAAGTAAAAATTCTGGTGTATACACCACATGACTTCCTTGTACTGAGTATTAAATTATACGCCTTTCCCCCCCCCACTTTAACTTATCGGATTGAATTAAATCTACTTCGCCGATAGCGCATAAACCACAACAGAATAAATGCACTCTTTAAAATTCGCTATATTTGTTTACCATAGCGATACTCTAGCGTAGGTTCACTTAACAGCGTTATATTTCGTTCATATTATAACTCAGAATGCACAAAATTTATATCATTTGAAGAATTATCTAATCGTTGCACACATTTCTATTCAAATACTATAATAAAGCTAAAACGATGTATAAAAGCAATTAAGCAACAAAACAAAAAAGAAAAGTTTTTCACAGACGATTCGTATTTCTCATCAATTTATTCAGTTCTCACTTCCGCGACAAGAGCAAAAATACATACATAACTCAAAATCTCTGTATTAAAAATTACCAAAGTAAATCTTAAACACTTATTTTCTCGAAAAACTTTTAGAAAGGATTAAGCATGATTTAACTGGAAATAATAAATAAAGGCGTTACCTTTATTGTTGCGAAGCTTAGTCTCTCTAGAGTGGCAATAAATTTACTATTCTCCTGTTATCAAATGTAAACAAATATGTTCCGCCATGTTATTTTAATTAGGCTTAACCGCACTTAAACAGCTTTTAAATTGTTAATAATTGTACAAGCATTGTTTCCAGATTTACGAAATGACAAAAACCTTAACCGGAAAGATAAGAACAATATAATTCAATCATTTTTAAGCAAAAAATGCACAATTTACAACATTTAAGAGTAAAGAAACTGAGATCACTGAGCTGGGTAACAGAGTGGATATATATATAAATATATTTATACACATTTGGTGCGGCCAATTGCTTTTGTATATAGCAGTCCTATATACAAAAGTTCAACGTTCTGAGGCTACTCGTTTTTGAGTTACGCGAAATACATTCGTACGTACAGACACCACGAAAAATTCTCTTCAGAATTCCTTTTAAAGCAATTTTATAATTTTTTTGGAAGAAAAGAGTTTTTTATTCTGCCCTTACGGACAGATATCGCACAAAAACATCGTTAAATTGCATTCGATAGCGGTCAAAATGGATATTTTCGTTGAAATATCTGCCTGAAACTTTTCGCGATTACAATACTTCCTTTTTACTTCGTACAAGGAATTCAAAATTTATGCTCGAATTTTCCTCCTCATTTTTTATTGATTTTCCCTAATTTTTTTAGCTTTCTGACCCTAGTGCTTGTTTAACATTCCCTATGAAATAGTTGATCACAGTCATTTGATAATAAAGCATTTAAATATTTGTGTTTAATAATCATTATAGTAGGTTAATATGAATTTTAGGTTTCCATATTTAATTGGGAAGTTTTTTTATTGAAATTTTAACTGAGTTCAATATGTTACAATTGCAGGTAAATTGTAAAAATATTATGTGTTTTTTGCATATTTTATAAAAGTGGTATTTATTAATCTTTTGAATTATTTTTCTTTTAGTTGGGATTTTACAGCGATGAAGAAGGATTAAGAATCGATCATGATATTTTATTTTCTTCCGATGCACTTATACATACAGAAGTAATCGATACTACGCCAAAATCAGATCTGAAACTCTCATTCAGCCTTGACCAGCTCCTGCCTTTAACCAAAAAACTTACTCTCGTAAACGAGACACAAGAAACTACAGCTTCTTCATCTGTAATGAACGTGAAAGATTATGTTGAATGGAAAATTCTTGACGATGTTGAATCAGCAATGGCAAATGAGGAGGTTTGTTACCAATTCTCTTACCTATTATTCTTGTGTTGCATTAAAAAAATTATTAATGCATTTGTAGAGTCATTAGTTGTATCAAAACAGGAGATGTGAAATATGTGTAATGCGCTCATCGGGATTTGAATTTCGGACTTTCTACTGTTCCGATGCTACTGGACATGCTTTCAAGTTACGCCCCGAAGGCACGTGGTTAGGAAAAAGAAAAATCTTACACATAAAGTCAAAAATTTTACACATGAAGTAATCAGATTCAGAGGTTAAAGCGAATTGGAAAGAGAATGACATTACAATCGAATATAACTGAATTTCAGAAGACAGTATATTAAATATTTCTTTCTGAGAAAGTAATACGGCGTATCCAGTATAAAATGCAGCTTACTAATTAGATTTCCATCGAGCAGATAAAACCACTGCATACTAATAGTTTCGATCTGAATTCAAATCCTCGTGAACTGGCTGATTGAATGAGAGTTATTTGTAGTTTGTTCCATGTATATCGGGCATGCAAATTGAAATAGATGATTATTACTGTCTAGAAATAAAACACATTTTCAAATTTATCCATAAACATCTAATTCTCTTAACTGTACAACTTTTGTAAGACTCATGCCAGTTATTTTGTAAATTTTATAATGCATTTCCATAGCCTGTATTGTAACACACATTTCCGCAGTCGGTATTGTCGTATTACTTACTTTCTCATGCACACTTAAACGTTTACTTCTCGGAGTTTCAGTTCTCGATACAAACTAGCTCAGCTTCACATTAATAAGATTTAGAAAAAAAAATGTTTTATGCAATAAGCTGTTATTTAAAAGGGTTACGATAATTAATACACTTAAGAGAAAAATAATTTGTAATTTAATGGGAATAACAAATTAAGTAACTTTCAGAATTCATCTACAATTTTATATTTCGAATAATGAAAGCGAGAGTGGGCGCCCATGATAAATTAAAAAATATAATGGCTTACACATTTGAAAATGTAATTAAATTAATAAATTTCGTTATTTAGGCATCCTACGCTTTTATTACTTGTGGTTTAAAATTGTTGATGAATTATGTAAATAAAGTTATTTAATCTATTATTCCCATTAAACTATACGACAAATTATTTTTATCCTCTTAGTGCATTAATTATCATGTCTATTTTGAATAAAAGCTTATTGTATAAAAATACTTTTCTTTTAATTTTATCTTATTTTCTGTTCTTTATTTTCAATTACACGTTATTAAGGTTGAAGTTTTTAATCATTGTTGAAAAAATTTATAATAATATATATAAAAGCAATAAATTATAAGAAAATTATGAAATAAAGAAAAATAATTGAACGTCGTTCAGCGAATGAAGAAATCGTTTTGAATATACAGTTTGGAAAATTGGATGTAAAAACAGTGTTATAACAAGTATTTTACTTAAAGCTAAAAGGAAAAACCGAATATAGCAATTCATCATTAAGTGCTCCAGATGGCAAACTCTAAAGCAGTTTGTCCGCAAAAAACATTTTTTTTCCCTCCCGCGTGCATCAGACTGCAATACATTATTTAAAAAATGTAGAGAATGGCTCAATTAATTTTTTTTTTTTTTTTTTTTTTTTTAAAAGAGCAAAAAGTTTGTTTTCATAATCTCTGAAAATTTCGAAACTTTATACCTGATAATCATGAACGTCTAAAAATAGAGCGATTTTCAAAAATTGGTCAAAAATTCAGAAATGAAATTACAATTTTCATGTAAGTTTCATTGAGAAAAAAAAATTTTTTTACCCTCTCTATTCGATGGTGGAAGCAGTAAAATTCTGGTATGTTTAGTTTGCTCGTTAAACTGTGTGTGAAAAATTATATGAATTGTGAAATATATGTGAATATATATATTTTTAAGTAGTTCTTTTTTTTTTTTTTTTTTTTTTTCGTAAAATTTAACTGCTTTCATTTAGTGTAGTTGTTTTTACTTGGTGTTACTTGTAAACTTTGGAATTAGCTGCATCAAATGTACTTTAAAGCTTTAGCTATTTTTAATTTTCAACTGTCCTTATCATTCAATTTATATACGATATATAATCTTATACTTATATATATAAATATATATATAATTATAAAGTAAAGTAAGTAGAAAGAACAAACGCTATATATATATGTGTGTGTGTGAATATATATAATTACAAAACACTTCTTTTGAAAACAAAACACAAACATTCCATGAATCACATATATTTCATATTATCATATTACATATGAAATATATGTGATATATATATACATATATTCACATATGAATACGGGTAAAAATCATTTAAACATTAAACGAAAATTACATTGAATTTTACAAAAATTCCTCCACCATATTGCATTGTCACCGACTAGTAGTGTATGCACAAAATTTGAACTCGAGAACTTATCAGGAAATAGACTGAAAACCGATCGCAAAATTCCAGCCACAGAGAGACACCATAAACGAACTAAATTAAAGCTTATAAAAATCGGTCCTTTTTGACAGTTAAGGGCTTAGCATATTTTCTTGGGAGTTTAATATTACAGAGAAAGGGTTTCAGAGCTCCTGACTTGTTTTTCCTCCAAGAGTTGTCGAAATTATGTATTTCTCGTAATAAACTCGTAGTACATGAATTTATTTACTTCTCAGAATAAACTTATAGATGTCTTCATCACCATCTACCATTTTATTACCTCCAGACTTTTCTTCTTTTTTCTCCTCCGTTCTCTCGTCGAGCTGCCAATTCCCTTTTTTCGCCTTTCCAAAACCAGTTCTCAGTTCTGCTACTTCGTGCGAGGGCGTTAACTGGTGCGTAATACAGCTAAAAAAAATATCCAAGAAATTGCGTAACCAATATTTACTGCACTTTATTTGCTTTTTTTATTTATTTATGTTTTTAGCAAAAGTATAAGTTTTAAATCACAATCACTAAATGACAAGAAAGATAATTTTTTTCTAATTAAAGCTGCCCACGCAGTTACTGACATTTAGTGTTTTTATTTAACTTATATAATGTATAGAAGATCACTTGGAAAATTCTTTATTCATAGCATTTGTGTTTCTAAAATAATTATGTTAAAAACCAATTTCCTAATTTTCTATTTATGACAAGTACATGTTTTTTGTGCTGGTTTCCTTTCATATAATTAATTCATACTAGGGTTATCAACTAAAATGAAAATGGCTTCTTTTTCTTCTTGATATATATGTTAGTTGTCTGTAGTTCTAGGACTAAATTACGAATTTTTTTTTTAACTTTGAAAAAAAATTTAATATATATGAAATGTAATTTCTCATACATTATTTGTTTTGTGCAGCCGGGGCAACAGGAATGAGACAAATTTTGGAATATAAAGTGGTAGGTTTATTTTAGCATCCATCTCACAAGCGTTCTCCTCGTACCTTGAGCAGAAGCCCAATTTATACATATGTGTGCGTCACGAGGCTCACCCAATCAGCGATATTAATTGAAATCACGAGGTGACGCTATCTTCTCATCAGGAGAGTTCTTAAGGACTTATGTAATATGACAGATTTAGGAGTTTGGCGATTTGGCGGCGCCAACAGGTATATATTTATACTAAAGAAAGGATTTCGCCAAATTAGGAACGGGGATGCAATTTAGGTAGAGAATCGCCAACACATTATAAGCAATATTATAGAATTTAATTTATCAATTGATTTAAAAATATCATTACAGATTATCCCCCCCCCATCTAAAAAGGTTGCAGTCGCGGCCGTCGACCCAAGACAGTCCAGATAGTGAGAGCAGAAAATTTAGTTGTTAGGAAATTAAGTGAGTAGGAAAACTGATTGGATTTACCTCAAGGCCACCAAATGTTTACATAATATGACATAAAATATTTGAAATAATGAATACAGTATATAAAATATAATAAATGATTAATGAAATTATAATATAGTAACTAAGTGAAGAAAAATAAAGCACTAATAACATATGGATGGTTAACTACGCGGCAATAGGAAATAGTAGCATAACTGAAATTGTAAGTTTATATCTTAGGGCATGCCACTGACAGTTTGTGTATGAGTACGTACAATCATTAGAGTTGTCATTCAGGCTCATCTTTAATCTTTTATTGGTCTTTGGAGATTCCGGATCATTTAATTAGCGCTAGAATATGGATTGCATTGGCACTGAAAACATTTGAGATTTTAGTCACGATACTAGAGGATCTTATACTCTTGTTGAAAATACAGATTTTGTTAGGTTTTTAACATATTTTGTCACTCTATTTTTCTCTTATTAATGATAACAAAACAAAATTTAACTTCCAACACACATTTTGCTAGGTTTTTAACATATTTTGTCACTCTATTATTATTGTACTTGTAATTGGGAAAATCACCAAACGTAGTTAAAGTGGGGTCGAAAAAATTTTCCTTTAAAATTTGGACTAATTCCACATATTTAGTAATTTTATGGCAGTTTTTGACATATACGCTAAATGCATTACCTTTAGATATCGAGCTAATTAAGCTTCCACGTTCCATCTTTATCTAAATGAGTTTGTTAAAGTCAAAAGTAATTATAGCCATATCATTCTGCGCGTCAAAGGGAATTCATTATACTTGTTTCAGGTTCAGCGCTAGCTGCCTTAATGAAATCATCAGGATCAGAGATGTTTTCCTTAGCCATTTCTCTTAATAATACTTCAAATAAAAACTATTTTCATAAATAAAACTAACTCAAAAAAAAATACTCTTTAAATTTTCCCAAAAAAACAATATTAAAACCAAAATACATCCTTAAATACCAAATTTAAAATACATTTATACCAAAATAATACTTTTTAAAATTTTCAAAATAAAAACACAATTATTAAATCAGTAATTATAATTCAATAGAAATAATATCATTTGCATCGCCAATCTTTTTACTAATTGTTTCTGTTTGACGCGTATTGTGACGAGAATACGAGTGATGAAATCGACACGAAAATGCACATATTTGCGCACTCTTGATTAGCTTTCCGTAAAACACGATGAATGACACAACACAAGCTCTCGAGAGCAACACTGAACGGCGTACAGACATAGGGAAGATTCACAGCGTCAAAACTAGGTCAGCGGTAAGAGCACATTTGATGAACGACGAACTTTCGATGGAAACACAGATCACGCATCACAGGGGGCAGAAGGATGCTTCTCTGGACGTAAAATAAGATGCTTCTCTGGACGTAAAATAACATGCTTCTCTGGACGTAAAATAAGATGCTTCTCTGGACGTCAAATAATCTGCAGAATACCAGAATATAGTTAACAGAAGGATGATTCTCTTGAAGCAAGAACGCCTAGAGAAAAATGTAGAAACATAGAAGTCGCACACCGGCAAATTCATCTAAAGTGCGTAACATTTTATCCGTATAATCCTTGGGGCATCTTCTGTTTTAGATAATCCCTTTGAAGGTGGTATCCTACCGGCTTTCTGAAATGTAATTCTCATACAATATTTGTTTTGTGCAGCCGGGGCAACAGGAATGAGACAAATTTTGGAATATAAAGTGGTAGGTTTATTTTAGCATCCATCTCACAAGCGTTCTCCTCGTACCTTGAGCAGAAGCCCAATTATACATATGTGTGCGTCACGAGGCTCACCCAATCAGCGATATTAATTGAAATCACGAGGTGGGGTGACGCTATCTTTCATCAGGAGTGTTCTTAAGGACTTTATGTAATATGACAGATTTAGGAGTTTGGCATTTGGCGGGCGCCAACCGGTTAATATATTTTATACTAAAGAAAGGATTTCGCCAAATTTAGGAATAGGATGCAATTTAGGTAGAGAATCGCCAACACATTATTAGCAATATTAATAGAAATTTATTTAATCAATTGATTTAAAAATATCATTACATATATATATATTTTAATTTTATAATTCGAGCCAATAATCTAGCATCAGATCAGATCGGCATTTTTAATTATCGGCTCATAAAGAATCTATTAAACAAGAAAATTTAACAAACATTCTCTATTCGTAAAAAGGAAATTTAAGATGTTTTCACCTATTTTGTTTTATTAATTACAATAAAAGATTTGTTTAAATTAATTTTAATTTGATTTTCTGTAATCTAATATAGTTCGAATATTTATCTTTGTTAATATCAATTATCTTTTTTATTATGGCAAATATAAAAGAAAATAAAAAAGTGTTGTCAACTGCTAATCTTTTGTGCGAAGACAAGATTGCATTTCATAACCTACTGCATTTATTACATTCATATTTTTCATACAGGCTGATACTCATACTGCCAGTAGCACTAAGAGTGACATTGATGTGGTGGTTCCTCTTCAAGACGATGGAAATCTGCAGCATCTTTCGGATGGCAATTCATCGTTCAGTAGCGATGATGATGTAATTGTTCTAGGACCTTCTTATGCTAATGAGCACAAATCCAGATCTGCTGCTTCAAATCTGAGATCCATTTCGCTCACCAGCCATCAAGAACCTAGGATGAACGATGCTTTCAGAGCAGGTTAGGTCTTTCATCATTTTCCCACCTACTAAACATACTGAAAATTATAACCATCTTAGTTATCTTGAGATAAGTTTCTTGTCATGAATCAGTAGTTTCCCTTGCAGAATCTGCCCTTCATTCTGAGGAGAAGATTATTGCTCAAGAATCAGCAACATCCCTCCTCTGCAGAAGACGTGAAGGTTGTTCGAGCAGGTCTCGGTCGACATGTTTCGGCATGGCTGGGAAGACCATGGGCACTGTCAGTACTTGGCGTCTGTGGGTTCTTAATTTTGGCTACGCTGTATATTTTAGTTTTTCTCATGGTTAAAGCCTGCGAAGGCTCACTGAAGAAAACCAACTGTTGTCTGGCTGGTGCCCAGCTTGTGGCACTTCTTTGCCTCTACATTGCTGCAGCTCTGTATACGTGGAAACCGTCTGCTCTTCTTTGTGGTCTTCAGAGGCTGATGCCAAATGTCAGTCTTTCTTTCTGTTATGGCTGTCTCTTATTAAAAGGTAATCAAAATTTGCAAATTTCTGTATTTTTTAAAATTTTAAATATAAATCTAAAATAAGAAGGTGTGCTCAAATTTTCGTTATAGTTATCGATTGATGAATTACTTGTAATCAAGACTGGATTAACCAGTAATCTTAAGCACGTGCTTAAGGCATCAAAGAAAGGGAGTTTAAAAACTACCTTTCCTTGATGTACCCCCCAAAAAAGGGAGTTGGACCACAAAAACGTGCTTATAGGTATTCAGGGAAGAGGCACCAAAAAGTTTTCTTTTGCCGGTTTTGCCATGGAATTTATGCTGCAAATTAACCAAAACCGAAAGAGGGAAAAAAAAAAAAAAAAAAAAAAAAAAAAAAAAAAAAAAAAAAAAACTAGCCTAAACATATGTAGAAGCACCAAAATTGTAAAGTGCTTAGGGCCTTTGAAGTAATCCGGCTCTGCTTGCAGTGAACTGTATTATTTAAAAAAATCCTTTCGAAGGATTACTAAACATACGACAATACAGAAGTTCATGGAGTAAAAATCAAACAAATGGCGGTAAAGGTATATTGTTTCCAAGGTAAGGTATAGCAAAGAAGTAGGTGTGATTTGAATGGGGAAAATATTTAATTAAACGTATTACAGGTAAAGAATATTGCACCATTTTAGCAGTAATACTCACGAAAACATAAATAAGGAAAATTTAATTATGTTGCGATATTTTATTTATATAACGACCGTTAGGTATTACAAAGGTGGACTTTTAAATCTTTGCTCAGCGAATGACTTCTTAGTACCTTCTACCATTTATGTATTTTATAAATTAAAATTTGCAAGTTTCTCCCAAAGTTAATAAACATATAGAGACAACCAACATTTTTTTAGCCATACAAAAAAAGGAAAGCTTGAAAAACTGTACTTTTGCCGGGATTCGAACTCCGTATCTCCAACATACTAGCTAGACGTGCTACTTGTTTCACCACGAGAGCATGCATAGGGGCTGCGATAATTCCTTACGAATGAAAGCACCAAAAACTTCTTTAACCTAGTCAAAACCATACGGTATTCTATTCGTCTTGGCAAGTGTTGTCACTGTACAGAACATAAGGTCTTTAAACAGTAAGGACATATATTTTGAAGGAGAGAAGTAGCCCATACAATTTTGTTGCCAGTAACGAAGATGAAGTTTTTAATTGTATTAAATTAAATTAATATTTAATTGTATTTAAATTTTTAATTGTATTAAATTGTTTTTAATTTTATGTATCGCTCGTGAACAGTTCTCACAGTTCAGCCGTTTACAAAATGTGAAACTTTAATTTAATCAGTGTGTAATCGCTTATCAGTGAGGGATTTAAGTGTGTGTAATTGCTTATCGGTGAGGGATTTAAAAACAATAAATTCGCATTTTACTAATTAATTTTTTATTTTATTATTTTATTTAAACATTTCATTTGCCTAAATTAAAATGTATTTAATTTACAGTGTGCAATTGATAACTTTTATGAATAGTAGAAGCCTTATTTCTATTACTAAAAGGTGTTTCAAACGCATCTGTTACCCATATGGTATAGAATTTTATCTTTTAAATTTTTGAAAGTTTTTGTTAGAACATTTGATTAATATTTTAGATTTCACCCCCTGTTTCAAAGCACGTTTCCAGTCATCATCTTATAAGGTATTTCTCTCACTTCCTTAGCGTGCCTTGGTGGTGTAACGGTAGCACGCTGGGACAGTATTCCGGAGGTCCGTGGCTCGATTCCCTGCGAAGGCGGTTGCATATTTTTCATCTTGCTTGCTTCAAAAATACCTAATGTCTCTACAATGTTAGAACATTACTCCAGTCGCATGGGTTTATAAGTTGTATTTTCGGATAAATTAGGCATAATCGTGCATTTAGTCTATATTGCTATAAATTCCAATCTACATTTTACGATTTTTAACTATGGATTCAACGGTTTAAAAGAGAAAAATGCAATAAAAATTTATAGTATTTTAAAGATATACAGCTGCAATTTTTTTATCATGTAATTTAAATAAAAAATTAAAATGCCATTTTTAAAATTTATTTTATTTAAAAATAACTTTATTGCCGAGGATGACGTGTTGAGAAGTGAACCATTTTCGATTTTTTTATTATTTTTTCTTTAAACTTCAGAATGACTGTCAGATATAGTTTTTCCCTTACTGTAGTCTGTTAATTACGAATTGGCACTTCAGAATCATTTTTACTACCCGGCTTGCCTCGTAATCATGGTAACGACAACTGTAGTAGATAATCGAGTCCTCCGAATGCTTTTTTTTTTTCTCACTTCCGTTTAGCGTGTTTCGCTTTGTGAAAAGCACATAAATGAAAGCTGACTTGAACTGCAGTCTCAAATGGAAAGAACTGTGATGACAACATAAGCTACAAGTACAAATGGTGGAGGGTTGGGAAGCTCTTAAAGTGCCCATTTAAAAATACCGTATATTTCTGCAGATAAGATGACCTTCAGATAAGACAAAGTATAAATTTCGACAAAGTTTTATAGTTTTGTCGTATAAGACGACCTCCAAACTATCAATGTCCTAGAGAATTAACTTAGATCAGGGATCATCATCTGGAACAAATTTTACTTTCTCACATTTAGCAACACTGCCTATAGAAGCACGTGCCGAATCACAAACTCATATGTACCTTTTAGAAGTTTCGTTATAGGTCGTGCCGTAACTTCAAACAATCTGCATGATAAGTATAATTAGCATAAAATTTGTAAAGTGCGTGCCCAACCATGGAACCAACAAAAAGAAAGAAATATAAAGCAAACTTCAAGTTAAAAGTCACAAAAAAGGCTGAATACTTGAACAAATGTGCTGCAGCAAGGGCTTTGATATAACAGAGATGGTAAAATATTGGAGAAAGGAGGAAAATGCTATTAAAAATACCAATACAAAATTATCTATGAGAAGAGGAGTAGCTTGCTGGCCAAACTTGGAAAATAACATTGCAGAATGGGTAGAAGAACAGAGGTAGAATTGTTATATTACTACAAGAAATAAATATCATTAGGACTTATTCACTGAAAGGCAGAGCCAACCTAGAACAAGGCAGAGAATTTAAAACAACAGTAAGTTGGTGCTGTCGTTTCATGAACAGGAAAAGTTCTAGTAATAAGACAGAAAGCAAAAACTGCACCAAAGTTATCAAAATGTCTGGATCATAAAGTCACAAGTTTCCACAAGTTTGTTATTCGTTTGTTATCGATGCAAAAATACAACTTTCCATTATGTTTTGCAGTCACGTAACTGAAAACACTAAAATTCGCTTAGACGAACAATACTAAGATTGTTGTTATATACCAGAGGTGCTAATTCAGAAGTCAAACAACAAAAATCAGCGTTATATTTACAAAATTTTCATAGTTTTACCGAACCACCATCCTCAGCTGCAAAACCGCAAATGACTTCTGAATTAGTATTTATTCGGCGTGTAATTGTGTCTTATTTATACCAGAGGTGGTTTAAATTTAATGCTGCATCTTTAGACAACTCTCTAAAAAAAACACCATTCAAAGATCACTTGCGTGAATAATGGAATAACTGGATTATGAATGGCGAAAAGTCGTATACGAAAAGTAGTATGTAATTTTTATAATTAAATCATGGGAAAAAAGGAAAGGCGAAACAGTGATGAAATGCTTCAAAAAAGTGTGGGATTTCTAATGCTGTGAATGGCACTGTGGACGATTTATAACAGGATACCTGATGACGAAGCGGAAATCGACTCACTAGATACTGAATGGGACCCACATGACTAGCTTCTCAACAATGAGTCAGGATGCACTTGAGTAGCTTCTTGCCTTGGGTGATGAATGTGAGAATTTTGCAGGATTTTAAATCCACTGGCGAGTGAATTGTTTTATTTTATAATGGTTTTAATTTATGTAAGTTTCAATCTAACTTTTTTTTTGTATCTCACCTTTAAGACGATTCGAGGGGTCTTATCGTTTTATCTGCAAAAACATATGCTAACAGATTACAGTTGGGATAAACGCGGATCTGCTGCATCTGTGCTTTCAAGTTCCATCCCCCAGCCTTTTTTAAGTAAACAATTCATTCCGCTGTCATGAGTAAAACAATTCTATTTCCACTCATTTAATTCTAATACATAATATTTTTGCATTGTTCTAGGTATGTACTTAAGAGCCCAGAGCAGTTTGGGACTTGGAGGTAGTGTCAACCGTTGTAACCAGATGCTCACCCTTCTGTTCATTGTGAGTGTTCAGATTGCTCTCGAAACTCAGTGGTGGTTGATTCGACCTCCGTCTTTGGCTGAAGATACTTTAGAATGTCTCACTGGAAAGATAGAGATTTTGCAGTCCCAGCTATACATCACGTTTTTATTGCTGCTAGTAACAGCAGTGGCTGTATCTACGCGCAGGTAAGGCTTCTGAGATTTTATTCTTTATTTTCTTTAGTTGAATATGGGAGAGCGCGTATGGGTTATCTAGGAAGGAATATGTTTCTTAGGCGACTTTCTAAAGAAAATTGGCTCATATGTATGTGTATATATTGTACTTGAAAAATTATGAAAGCTTCCATATATTCAACTCGTTCTCTACTTTCGAATCAAAATTAAGTGCCAATACTCAGCGGTCTTATTCATTTGACCACTTATGGACTTCTATGGAACAGATTTAATAATTATTGCAAATAATTTTTATTTATATATGAATCCGTATCTAGAGACGCCCTGCCAACAATATCACCCATGACTTTGGTCTTCTTACAGGGATGCGGCAATCCTAGAAGTTTGTGGTATTGTTAGTGATATGTCGCCTGGTAGGGGATAGCATCATACATCTTAAGACATAAAATTTCAAGGACTCCGATAATTAGAAAATTTTGTCGAGTCGAACCGGATGAATCCTGTAGATGAAATATATTTTATTAATCTTCACTTGTGGATACAATGATTAGTAAATTTTGGAGAAATGTTTAATAGGCAATAGTTATTGATAATAATTTCTCATCAATGACAGTGTTTTCCCCCTATAGTTTAGAGATTAATTTGGCGGCTTTTACTACTGTATTTTCGTTTGGTAACTTTTTCCTTTTGCCAGTAATCGACAATGACATTTTACTTCCAGCTGTAGATTAAATGTATTCATAATTAGTGCTATAACGTTTCATATTAAGTCTTCTTTTTAAATTAAAAAATCGGACATAGCCTATATGACCTCAAGCCAATTTCATACTTCGAGCTTTAAGAAAAGTATCAAGCGATAATTTACTTCAAGCTCGCTGCTATTTAAAGTATGCAATTCGTTGATCATTTGTAAGTAAAATCCAATATGTTTACAAATACTATGGCTCTTATTATTATAAACATTACTTTCATACAATGGAATTACGCTCCCCCAAATCCAATAAATCTCATACAGATACTATTCTATATCCGATAATTATTTTTCGTCATACAAATACTATTCTGTTCGCCCATGCAATGCAAAATGCTAACTATATGTAATTATGTACTCTGTAAATCCCATATTCCCGAAAAGCAATGCAAAGTTACAGGCACGAAACCTTTATTTCTGGATTAAAATACAATGAAAACTATTAACAATCAAAATCATCAAACAGTCATCTTTAACCCACCTGTCGCCTCAAAGCAGTTCGTCAGGAACTCTTTTCCACGAGGTGAGCAATTATCTACAGAAGCTCAAAAGAATCTCCCTTTTCTCGGTGTTCACGCCTTTTTATTCTCGCTCGCAATGCAATGTCCACAATCGAAGTTGTAATCTTGTGGCAGTAAGTCTTGGTTGGAAGGAACATTCCTGAATGCTCGTCGCATGGTTTTCTCAGAAACCACTTGCAAGATCTAACCCTAACTATTCACCTGCACGAAAAACATCAGAATTCGTTGTTTTTACACAACATTCCTTTAATTTGAAAGCATCGCATCTATCATAGTACGTTCTCTGATTGCATAATATTTCGAATTCACAAATCAGGTGACTTAACAATCACAAAAATTTTAAAAGCAGCATAAATTTAGAATTGTCGAAAGAATGTTAAAAGTGTTGCCGTATATTTCTTCCAGTCTTTTCTCACTTCATGATGTTAACATTCGGTTTTCTTAACAAGATGGCAACTTATTTTCTTGTTCTCTTAGCTATATTTATTAAAACCACGTTATTCGTACTTATGCCACACAAAATTTAACAACAAAATCACAAAGTCTTTAAAACCAGTGTATCTTTAAAATTCCTAACACAACATAAAGTGTTGCCATATATTTTTATAGTCACTATACTATTTATATTTGCTATATTATTTTTTCAAAATTAATGCATAGAGATAACATTTGGTGGCAGCATTTTTTTATTCGAAAAGTGATTCGATAGATGAGTGAAAGGCTCACAGAATTGAGAATCGAGTCTAATACATTCAGTTGTTCATAATGAGCTCATTCGCTTTTCATTTGGTACAGTTCTAAAAATATATTTAATGCTTATAATTGCAATGTGTTGTTCTCCATTACATACGTATTTTGTGTACCAAATTCGAGAAATTTTGATTTATCTCATAATATATTTTTTTACTGGTCAATGTCTGTTCAAAGCTTCAAATAAAGTAACACTTCTGGTTGATTAATTTAAGCCAAAATCTAATATGCTGTTCTCATCGATATAAAAATTCTAAAGTAATAAACCTATATTAAAAACTATATTTTAATACAGATTTCCATAAAAAAAACTGTTATAGGCGATAAGTAAAATATTACTTCTGGTTGTGCAGTTTTAGTCAGAATCAATATGAATGAATATAGAAAGCTTAACCATCGAAAATGGAAATTTTTGGTAGTTATATGTAAGAGTTATAATGGACAAAAAAAGTCGTCACATGCTTATAGACAGACAGACTGATACACAGACATCATTTCAAAAACAGTAAAAATGTGTTGTAAGGTACCTACCATGCGCTTATTCACTGAAAGCTCACAACCGAATTTTTGAACCGAAAACATTATACTAAAGGTTGAGGGGTAAAATTACTTTAATTTTTAAAATTTATCTTTTTCAATAAATTGAAAATTACCATTACCATTAAACCATAGACCGAAGAGACACAAATTAGTATGAAATATTATATTACAAAAATCAATATTTACTTGGCTTTAGTTTAGAATCATCACCAGTCTAAGAATGATTTTCCAATTTTACATGTACGTGAGGATCATGCCGCAAATCTTGTTTGAAGAATCTTTAAATGCAAAACAATCTGCACTTTCAGGGCTTTCAGACTCATTTTAATCGCCCCCTTGCTCTAGTTCGTTTTCTTTTGTTTTAATGAGTATTTAAAGCAATACTTAAAAGAAAGATGCAACTTATTTTATAAATACAACCTATATTTTTATCTGCAGTTGCGCAAAATGAAGCAATTAGACATTTCAGATATTTTTATTGTAGGTTTTAATTTATTTAAAGTATTTTCCTTCCGAAACAGAAATATATACAAAGCTTCAAAGTATATTTATTATTAGTCCAAAGGGACTTTTTTTTTTTCCTTTTGCGATTTTGCGTCGGAACCCTATAAACGGCCTATCACTTTTCAAATCGTTGCCACCAAATGCTATTGCCCTGTATTATATTTGAAGAAATTAAATGGTGAAGAATTTGCATAAATGTATGAGTGTTTCTCGTATTGTGATAAAACAACAGTACCTAGAGCTATACAATTTTCAATGGCGTAATCCTACTGCGAATATGGGCATCTGGAAGCCCGAATTTGAAACTTGGAATTTGTTTTATTATGGATTTCATATTTTGTAAAACTTTAACGAATTTTTGATTAACAAACTCGAGGATTTCAAAGCGAGTCATGGCAACGCTGTACAGAAAAAAACATTTTTATCTTCAGCGCGGGAGACTATGTATCGGAAATTCTAAAGATATGCTCCTTTAAAATTTATTTTGCGATATCGCTGTTAAACTGAATTTTATGGTTTGAGTGCGTAGAACACGATATTTAATAAATTAGGATAACTCACAAAATGCTAAAAAGACGCCCTTTTGAACGTAATTTAAAATCTGAAACCTTTCAGATTTTTTAAAAAAATTTTATTATTATTATTTTAATATCTTACTTTTGCTTCTAAAAGGAAGGAAATGTAGTAATAATTCTATTTAGTAGTACATTTTTATAGTACATTTATAATGTACCTTTATAGTTCCTGATTTTAATGTACCAAAAGCATCCTTTCCGAAATTTACAATGAGGAGGTTCTTGATTTTAATTATGTTTTAATATTTCTTTTGAATCGAAATTGATTAAATCACTAAATTGTGCAGTAATTCTATTTTATTTTATTGAATATCTTTATAGGCAAATTTGCGTAGAAGTTTACATATTCGTAGCTAAATTTCACAAAAGTTAAATTATACGAAATTTTTCATTCTTGAAAAATGTTTTCTAGTACTTCCTGTTTCGTTTTATTGAAATGTTATGAAGGATTTATAAAAAAAAAAAGCATATGTTGTGCATATATGATTTTTATGCGTTTCCTTCGTAAAAGGGCGACAGAATTAAACATATGGTGGACAAAATCTGGTCATCTCTTGGACTTTATCTTTTCTCTCTCGTGCTTTTACCTAGTGGAAAAAAAAAATTATCGAGTTATTGTAAGTCGTTAGCATGTTCTACTGGAAGATCGTGGTTTAAACCCTGCCTGGGGAACAGCTAATTTTGCCTGCTTTCTGCTCCATGAAACTCAGTCATCGTTACACAATCACAAAACTCACTATCTTATATCTTTCATAAAATGTTTCTAATGAAAGCAACGTCAGTTCTGAGACTGAATTTTACCTGTATTTGATTTTTAAGCTAGCATTCTCCATTTCCCAATAAGTACTTCTTAATTAATTAGGTTAATTAAACCTAAAAATAATAATTAATCTAATAAATAAATTAATTAAGCCTTCTTAATTAAGCCTTTTGGCTAATAAAAGCCCAAAGGGGCTATTAGTTCCGAAATCTGATTTTTCGTCAGATCAGTATAAATGCGTCATTTCGCTTTTTATTCGAGTCTGTTACCATTAGGCAAAATATAAGATATTTATGTTTCAAATTGAATCGGTCTGTTATGGAATAACAAACTAAGCTATCTGAAAGCAGTAGATGCAGTTCTTAAAAATATTCTTATAACAAAATTACTTTTGAATCGGATTGATTTAGATAATAAAAAGTTTTTCCCTGGAAAAAATATGTAAATTAAAAAAAAAAATTCCGAAAAACTTTCGGATTTTATATTAGGCCCAAAGGGGTGTTTCTTTCATTTACACACCTATACATGTTTCGGGAGTATTTGGGCTAATGTGGCTTTAGGCTAAAAATATTTAAAAACGGTATATCTTTAGAATTTCCGATCGGCAGTCACGCGCGCTGGAGATAATTTTTTTTTTTCGTACTGTGTTGCCACTGCTCGTTTTGAAATCATTGAGTTTGCTAATTAAAAATTCGTTAAAAATTTTACAAAATATGAAACAGACAAAAAAATAAATTCGGGCTTCCACTTGCCCATATTTGGGTGGAGAGCTACGTTATTCAAAATTTGATGGTTCTAGGTACCGTTTTTTTTTTTTTTTTTTTTTTCACAATGCGGGAAAAATACATACACTCATGCAGATTCTTCAATATCTAATTTCTTCAAATATAATATAGGGTGATAATATTTGTTGTCAGCAATTTGAACAGTTAAAAGACAATTACAGTGAATGGGCACAAAATGCCGTTTCGAGATTAATAGCCCTTGTAGGCTAACACCTGTTTAGGGTAAAATTATTAGCGGCTTCGAATTTTTCTAATTTAAGATTATGAGTTATTTCGTTTACTAATGTTTACTTACTTATGACTGACTAATGAAAAGATTTTTAAACGCTTCATTATTGTTTTTCTGTTGCAGAATTCCTTACAACCAGCCCGAGAGTAGAAGCCTCATCGCAACGTCTTTGTGCTGCCTGGTGATATTCTTGTCATGGGATGTCGCCTGCTGGTTACTGCCCGACTCTACAAGCAGGAATATAGCATATCCTTCGGCCTTGATGGCTACTGCTCTCTCTGTACTACTGGGCATATTTGGTCCTCAGTTATTTGCAATCCACAAATATGGTGGCTTTCCACATAAACCACTTTCATATGCAGACTCATTATCAACAGTGTTCACCATGTTTAAAGATCTTGATAATGCATCAAGTGGAGGCACAACGGCCAGAGGGAAAAAAAATGCAAAAACACTCGAGACGCCTTTTGCTACGGAATTAGGTGAAGGTACCCGGAATCCACTCTACAGCGATTACCAGTCAGCTTATCCATGATAAAATAAAGCCCAAATGAAGAAAGTTCCTCATCCATTCTCTCTGATATATACGTGTGAGCAATACGAAAATGGGTGTTAAGCCTGAAAACTTGGAACATCATATTTATTATTTTATCTTCGATTATACCTTCTAATGAAACTTATGTGATATTAAGACTCGTATTACTTTCTGGTGATTCTTAAAAGTGCCTTAACACAAATCAGAAATCGCTTTAAAAGGAAGCATATACTGTTGTGCATTGACTGTTAGCATTCTAATTGATAAGTTGTTCCGAATGTGGTTTCATGAATTCTTTCCTGGTATTTGTTTGTAATGTTCTTTATCATTTGTTCGCAGTAAATTAAATATATTGGTGAAAGGTATTGGAGAAATTAATGTTTGCTATAAAGGGAATTTAGGGAAATTTTAATATGGAAATCAATCTTTGCGACCATGCTCAAGAACAGTTCATCTTCTGTCCATTTGCTCAAACTGTTTTTCCAAAGTTACGAAATGTTGTCATGTCATAAATTGTAATGAAGATAATTTTTTGCTTTAAGTTGATATTTGGTGATGATAATTTTATGTCATTGTAATAATAATTTCTACGAATTTACTTACCAACATTTCATAGTTATATATATGAATAGTTATGTATGGAAACAAAGTATTTAACCTCATGTTTCAAATAGCATATTAATTTCGCATCACGATTCCTACCAAAAGAACTTCCGTTTATAATTAGAATTAACTCTTCTAACTAGTTATTAAAGGCATATTACTACTATTAGTTGCACGTACTTAATTTAGTTATGTTAAAAATAATTTAAATATCCGGAAGTATAAAATTTATCTGTTCAAAAAGTTCGCGGAATTTTCATGTCATGTGTGTTAACTCAAAATGCTTGAGTTTAGATGCCAGAGACCATTAGAGTACTTTCTATAGAAGATATGTATAAACTGACATCATACGGAACTTATACTTCGTGTTGTAGTACAAATGGAATGAAAGCATCTTTCGGCACAGTGTCGCATTTTGAGTAAAGAAATTTGAGTTTCTTTGATCAGAAATAAATTTCTGCTCTGCAATAACCACCTTAGTCGCCAGATTTTTTACCTTCTCACCCCGCTGTCTTCTGTCATCAAGATAGTTCTGCAAAATTCATTGTTTTCAGACAATTTAAGCTATCAAAAAGATGACGCTATGAGTATGTGGCTGACAAATGATGCATAAACTTAATGCTCCCAAATATGACAGATGAGCTAGTGTAAGTAAATGTATTCCGATGTATATTTCTTAGAAGTTCACAATGTAATAAATAATTTTTGACTTTTCAAACGGAACAATCCTACAAGTATTTTTCGCGAACTCTTTGAAGCCCATGAATATTCGTCGTGTTAAAAATTGCCTCAGTTATATCCACGAATTTCAATTTCAATTTGTTTTAACTATCTATTTGATAGGAGTCCTTTAAAAATCCTTATACTGAGTATTTACGACAATAATTATGAATTAGTTAGTTATCCTGTTAATGTGAAACTTATGTTCTCAAAATGTTTCAAAGAAATACGATATTGCATCAAAAGAAAACTTTAAAAAAATTAATAGCTTTAAAACTCCTTAATAATATGGTCAGCTTAAGATGAATTTCTGGTGAAGTCTCAAAATATGGTATAGATACAAATTTGTTACCTTCTCTTTTAAGTATATTTTTATTATTATATTTAAATATTGATGCTAACGTTGTATGTGTTCCCTTAATTTATTTATTGTATAGAAAAATATTCACTTTCATAAGAATTTTTTATCTTGAAACATTCCGTCCTTATGTTGACTAAAATGTTACATTTCCTTGTTTTCTTTGTTTTTATTCTTATTGTGTATATAACACAGAATTGCTTCAAAAACAGATGTCTTTTCAATAAAATATTTTCAAAACTTAAACTCTGTGTGTTCAGTAAACATGCACACGTGCTTCTGCTGTATTCCAGATTGAAAAGCATTGATACCCCTTCCAGAAAGAGAGAGAAAGGAAAATAATAAGAAGAAAATATTGTTGTTTTTCAAGTTAAGTAAAACAGTGCTTAAGAAACATTAGATAGGATCTCCGAGAATTAAAAAGTGGGATTTCATTAATGACAATGTAGTACGAGGCTATCCAGAAAGTAGATTACGTTTTGGGATAAAAAAATAAACAAAGTATAGGAAACAAATTTTATTATATACAGATGAAAGCCACACTCAAATACTACTTTTCTACATAGTCACCATACAAATTAAGGCATTTATCGTAGCGATGTACGAGCTTGGAAATTCCTTCGTCGAAAAATTCGGCCGCCTGCGCCTTCAACCACTTCGTTACCTCTTCTTGCATCTCTTGGAATCCATCTTGCACAAAACTTGTGGTAACCAAGCTTTTCGCTGATGATTTCGTGCAACAAACTTCGCGAAATTTGTGGAAAACTCAAAGAAAGTTCCGTTATTGTGAAATTTCGATTTTCACGGACTTTAGCATCGACTTTTTCGAGAAGTTCGGCGGTCACTATGCTGGGTCTCCCACTTCGATCTTCGTCGTGAACATTGGCTCGGCCATTTTGAAATCTTATGACCCACTGACTCACTCCACCTTCAGTGATAATGTGTCCCCATACACTTCACGAAGCTGCCGATAGATTTCTATCGGTTTACAGTTTTTTGCAGTCAGAAACCTTATTACTGAGCGCACCTCGCAGCTCGCGGGATTTTCAATTAACGCAGACATTTCAAACCGTCACAGTATCTGAACGGAGCACAGCACGAACCTCTCACTAGCACGGCTAGATGCAGACTGAGCTGCGCAACGCTCTGACCCCAAGATGGCCGCGCTAGCCCCGCCCCTAGCGGACACAGACGGAAACGTAATCTACTTTCTGGATAGCCCTCGTATATATTATGTAAAACAGATTAAAATAGCTTTATTTAATTCAGAATTCACTGAGAGCAATCATGAACAAAATTATAAACTTCAATGCATGCCCATTAACTGTATTTAGTCTCAGCCCACACTCTGACAAGAACGCCTAATGTAAAGCTTTCAATTGAGAGTTTTTAGCCTTTTGATGGTCAAAATTTTGAATTCCTTTACCGGGAATATTAATTTTGACAAATGGCAGAAGTAGAATTGCGTGGAGGTGCATAAGATGGACATAAGATGGACCAATCGGAGTGCCCTGAAAATCGAGGATTCAGTTTGTCGCGGATGTGAAGCATAGTGCAGTTATAACATATAGCGGTGTTTAAGAAACTTTTAATGAACGGCTTTCTTCCAATAGTATTTTAAACGGGAGTTATCGAGCCGAAACAATAGTGCTCGACGATATGCTGCGTATACGTATTCGGGACATTTTACGAGGCAGGGGAAAATGTTTCGCCTAGTCTAGCTCGGCGTACGTCTTCTTCAAAAAAATGATCTTTGCATATGTCAGCTAATCAGATATCCTGAAAGCGAAGATTCCCTAAAATGTTTCTTACGACACGCAGTTGCGGATAGCTATCAGATCTTACTGGAGATTTAGTTGGCCGGAGCTCCATCTTGTTGAAGTAAGAGCTACAATTCAGCATGACTTGAGGGAATTTCAGAAGCATGATAAAGGACTTGAACTTCAGTCCAGTTAGAAACATATTACTGTCAAATGATACTCGAGGGAAGGAAAAGATTTGCAATAAGTCCATGTGCTGACTGAAATTGGTATTAATTTCAACAATTCAGCATGACTTGAGGGAATTTCAGAGGCATGATAAAGGACTTGAGGGAACTTCAGGAGCAATAACTCGAGGAAAGGAAAAGATCTGCAATAAGTCCATGTGCTGACTGAAATTGGTATTAATTTCAACAAACACGAAAAAAACCAAAATCATGTTATTCATTTTGAGGCATCTTAGGAAAATCTGCGATGTATTCATATGTTACATGCGGATTTTCAGAGCACGAAATTTAGCCACTATTCCCACTTACGCAATCATTTACGAGTTTTTGCAGGCATTTACATGGCACTGAGCCTCATTCACAGTGAGACCACATTTATATGCACATAATGTACCTGCACAATTTTTTTTTTTTTTAGAGAGGGAAGTATATAAATGCGCTTTCAGTCCATTTCACGTACATGCTTCACAGAAACCTCATAAAATTCCACCATTCATTCTTGCAAATACTTATATAATTTGTAAAATTTTTTTGGTTTGGTTGAGTTTTAATTCATTTTGTAGAACAATGCACATTCAATATGTGATGCTTAACAAAATTTATTAACTGTAGTGTTATGTATCGTATACAAAAACTAAATGAATACTATTAATGTTTTATAAAACATAAGAACTTTCCATACCACGTACAGCATAAATGTACATATAAATTTATAACTATCTATGTACCTATCTCAGAACTGTGGCATCATGACTAAATCACAAAAAAGCTTTAATAATTCCTCTCCGAATACGAATGGTAAAGTTTAGAAACCATTATATTATAAAAAATACTGTGTGAAAATAATGTGCCTAATGAAAACAATATGTCAAGTGATTAAAAATAAATAAAGATTAACTTAATCATTACTTCTTAAAAACCCAATCTCATTCAGCTTTTCTTAAAGTTGTTTATGTAAAAATTATTGGTTTTGAGAAAAATCTGGTTGGTTTTAAGTGCTGGTTTTAAGAAGTTTAATATCTGTGTTAGCTTAAAATGGGTGGATAGTAAGGGGCAATGAAAATGGAAAAATAAATATCGCACTTGGACTCCACACTTTGGTAAATATTAGAGAATGTTCGAGAAGAGAAAAAAAAAGCGTTTACGAATGCAGAAGAATCTAAGCAAGGTTCTACTTCAGTAATTTTTATTAAATTGGTTAATTAATTATACGGATCATTTTTAATATGATCACAAAATACAAAAATTCTTCTCTGTCATAAGTGAAAATTTCACGAACATTCGTAATCATAAATAATTTATAAATGAAAATTCTATGTTACCTATAATTATTATTTATGTTATTTTGTTATTGATAAGCTATTCATAAATGAAAATTTTAAAAATTTGCAATTTTAATTTCTCGAATATTTTGTTCGTAATGTGTGGAACTGAACTTTTAATATTAAGTTCTCAATAATGGCCTTTAAAACTTTTATAGAGTCTCAGACAATACAAATTTGTTTTCATATTTGCACATATGGCAGTGAGACCCGAAGCTTTTCTATTCGTGCTCTAACCCAAAGATAAAGCTCAGTTTTTTTTTTTTTTTTTTTTTTTTTTTTTTTTTTTTTTTTTTTTTTACCTCAGGTAACTTCTCATGAATAACATTTTCTTCTGAGACAACAAAAAATGGGGCGGAGCCCCCAGAAATTTCGCCGACTACGGTGATTGATCCGCAGTGAGGTCAAGAGGCGGAGTTCTATGGCTCTCTAAAAATAATTCCAAACTCGGTCAAGCTGTACTGTCTACCTTTATAATAAGTCAAATTGTCTGGAAAATTTTCGTGCATAATATTTTATCTCAGTATCAGACTCTAACAAACGAATCCATAATTTATATCAACATTTATCTAGTCGAATCAATATAAATCACTTTTTTCCCTTTTAATAATTTAGGTATTTAAAAAGTACACCAAAACAGCGTTTATACGACTTCCAAGGGACTGTTAAAAAGGGGGAAAAGGGCATATAAGTAAGATAAACATAATAATAGAAATGGCAGTTTGACAATAGAATTACTGACCGATCATAAATGACCATTATTTCCCTTTGGTGTATATACCAAATCGAACGGGGGTAACCTTTCGAAGAGTGATAATCTATTTTAACTGTAGATATAGATGTTGGAAATGTAGATCTAAATCTATGAATAAACGTTAGAAAATATTTCTTGTGATGTAAATGCTCTTGAGACACAGCTGGACGATCCGTGGTTCGAATCCTGCTAATGTTTTCTGGTCTAAAATGTCCTACGGGTCTCTACATATTTTAGTTTCAGAATTTACAATAGCTATTTTACTGTTATTATACAAATTTAATTTCTTTATCCAACTTATTTAAAATACTAAGTCATTTTTTTTAAAAAAAAGTTAAGAATTTCACTTTCAAAATCTTAAGGCTTTAAATTTTTATGATATTTAATCCAAAAATGGAAATGGATAAATTTTATTTCTATTGTTCACGAAAAAAGAACACATTTTTTAGTGAGATTTTAAACCTGAATTTTTCCTGCTAAGTCTTCACGCATTATTCGATGCGCCATTTGATTTTGAGATTTAAGCGTAGCACTAAAAAGCACAAAATTAAAACATGTTATCTTCAGTCCAGTTAGGAAACATATTACTGTCAAATGATATCAGACTGAAGCGTATACCGTTGCTATATTCCATTCCTCATTCTGTCCATTTTAGAAACACCTTTCAGTCCATCAACTAATTTAAACTGCTGTAAAGTCTGACTTATCTCGCATCCTAAGAGTGTGAGGTGCTAAAAGAAGCGTCAGTGTGTTAAGTCACAAAAAAACTAACGTATAACTGAAACTATGCGTAAAACTGAAACTAACGTAAAACTAAAGTATAACTGAAATAGATAAATGACGCTTCATTCTCTAAGAGTATATGCAGTTAATTCTTCTTGTTCATTTAGATTATGAACAGACTGCTTGCAGGAGTAAATAACTGCATTTGAAGAAATAAGGTAAGCACAGTCGTTTCGCCACTAATGAAGGAACTCAGTCCTGATAAACTATCTGAATTAAAGGTCTTTTTAAGCTGTAAATGCATCTGAGGTGGTTATCGCTCACAAATTATTTGGACAACCAACTGTTTGGGACAACTTTAACATCAGTCTCAACCACAAAAAGGAAGACAGGCATCCTTTTACCCTTATACACCCAAAACTGCGCCTATTGCATTTCTACCTGTCAGCTGTTTTTATAT